TAAAAATGTGACTACCGGATGTTTTTCTTATACAGTATACGAATAAAAAACCTCTTAGACGTTTTTCGATATTTTGACATTTTTTCCCAGACCCAAAAGCCAAGGTGGTCCGTGAAAAGTGGTCGGAAAATCGAAAAATTAAAAATGTGACTACCGGATGTTTTTCTTATACAGTATACGAATAAAAAACCTCTTAGACGTTTTTCGATATTTTGACATTTTTTCCCAGACCCAAAAGCCAAGGTGGTCCGTGAAAAGTGGTCGGAAAATCGAAAAATAAAAAATTTGACTACCGGATGTTTTTCTTATACAGTATACGAATAAAAAACCTCTTAGACGTTTTTCGATATTTTGACATTTTTTCCCAGACCCAAAAGCCAAGGTGGTCCGTGAAAAGTGGTCGGAAAATCGAAAAATTAAAAATGTGACTACCGGATGTTTTTCTATAACGGCATACGAATAAAAAACCTCTTAGACGTTTTTCGATATTTTGACATTTTTTCCCAGACCCAAAAGCCAAGGTGGTCCGTGAAAAGTGGTCGGAAAATCGAAAAATAAAAAATTTGACTACCGGATGTTTTTCTTATACAGTATACGAATAAAAAACCTCTTAGACGTTTTTCGATATTTTGACATTTTTTCCCAGACCCAAAAGCCAAGGTGGTCCGTGAAAAGTGGTCGGAAAATCGAAAAATAAAAAATTTGACTACCGGATGTTTTTCTTATACAGTATACGAATAAAAAACCTCTTAGACGTTTTTCGATATTTTGACATTTTTTCCCAGACCCAAAAGCCAAGGTGGTCCGTGAAAAGTGGTCGGAAAATCGAAAAATTAAAAATGTGACTACCGGATGTTTTTCTTATACAGTATACGAATAAAAAACCTCTTAGACGTTTTTCGATATTTTGACATTTTTTCCCAGACCCAAAAGCCAAGGTGGTCCGTGAAAAGTGGTCGGAAAATCGAAAAATAAAAAATTTGACTACCGGATGTTTTTCTTATACAGTATACGAATAAAAAACCTCTTAGACGTTTTTCGATATTTTGACATTTTTTCCCAGACCCAAAAGCCAAGGTGGTCCGTGAAAAGTGGTCGGAAAATCGAAAAATAAAAAATTTGACTACCGGATGTTTTTCTTATACAGTATACGAATAAAAAACCTCTTAGACGTTTTTCGATATTTTGACATTTTTTCCCAGACCCAAAAGCCAAGGTGGTCCGTGAAAAGTGGTCGGAAAATCGAAAAATAAAAAATTTGACTACCGGATGTTTTTCTTATACAGTATACGAATAAAAAACCTCTTAGACGTTTTTCGATATTTTGACATTTTTTCCCAGACCCAAAAGCCAAGGTGGTCCGTGAAAAGTGGTCGGAAAATCGAAAAATTAAAAATGTGACTACCGGATGTTTTTCTATAACGGCATACGAATAAAAAACCTCTTAGACGTTTTTCGATATTTTGACATTTTTTCCCAGACCCAAAAGCCAAGGTGGTCCGTGAAAAGTGGTCGGAAAATCGAAAAATAAAAAATTTGATTACCGGATGTTTTTCTTATACAGTATACGAATAAAAAACCTCTTAGACGTTTTTCGATATTTTGACATTTTTTCCCAGACCCAAAAGCCAAGGTGGTCCGTGAAAAGTGGTCGGAAAATCGAAAAATAAAAAATTTGACTACCGGATGTTTTTCTTATACAGTATACGAATAAAAAACCTCTTAGACGTTTTTCGATATTTTGTCATTTTTTCCCAGACCCAAAAGCCAAGGTGGTCCGTGAAAAGTGGTCGGAAAATCGAAAAATAAAAAATTTGACTACCGGATGTTTTTCTTATACAGTATACGAATAAAAAACCTCTTAGACGTTTTTCGATATTTTGACATTTTTTCCCAGACCCAAAAGCCAAGGTGGTCCGTGAAAAGTGGTCGGAAAATCGAAAAATTAAAAATGTGACTACCGGATGTTTTTCTATAACGGCATACGAATAAAAAACCTCTTAGACGTTTTTCGATATTTTGACATTTTTTCCCAGACCCAAAAGCCAAGGTGGTCCGTGAAAAGTGGTCGGAAAATCGAAAAATAAAAAATTTGATTACCGGATGTTTTTCTTATACAGTATACGAATAAAAAACCTCTTAGACGTTTTTCGATATTTTGACATTTTTTCCCAGACCCAAAAGCCAAGGTGGTCCGTGAAAAGTGGTCGGAAAATCGATAAATAAAAAATTTGATTACCGGATGTTTTTCTTATACAGTATACGAATAAAAAACCTCTTAGACGTTTTTCGATATTTTGACATTTTTTCCCAGACCCAAAAGCCAAGGTGGTCCGTGAAAAGTGGTCGGAAAATCGAAAAATTAAAAATCCGAAAGCCTAGGTGGTCGTAATAGTTTACACTTTTGAAATATTATTTTGGACTTAATTACTTTGGAAAATGAACGAGTGAATAAATTGATTATTTTGAACTTAGAATACTTTTGTGATTATTACCATTATTACGTAGTATAAATTTTTATTGTGGTACATAAAATTATTATTATGGCAACACTGCAGAGTATTGCTGTAGTGATAATATTATAGATGTGATATGGACTTAGAAATATTTTCGCGTTTTTTTTCCCGGACCCAAAAGCCAGAGTTCAACCACATTCTATTGCATATTTGCATACAGTACTATAAATAAAAATATATAATTTATACATGTGTATGGTATAATGATTGTTATGGTGGATTTTATACATTTATTTAGTGTGTTCGGTGTGTATGAATTATTTACTACTTCATAGGGCAGTTGTATACATTCACCATTACCTTTAAGTTCTATACTTCAATATATATTATATTTAATGTGTTGTTTAGGTATTATTATATTATGTACTTCTACAGAGAGTTCTATAGGTGGTCTACATTAGTACACAGTGGTACCTACATGCTATTGGTAGATTTTTATTATATTTATTAAATTGAAAATTTTTACAATATTTTATGCATGTGTCATTCTTAGCAGTGTGTCCAGTGTTTTTTTTAGGTTTTTAGGGTAGTGGTAAGCCTTTTATTTTTTTTTACTTTTGTATACTAGCTATATTATATACTTTACGTTTAATGTGTTGTTTAGATATTATTATTATTATTATTATTTTTTTTTCATCTAATTCATTCAAGCGGAATAACACACGTTATTGTTTATGGATTGTTATTTTCATTGACATAAATTAATATTTCCTATACCTTTGCCATTCTTATATAATATTATACGGTGATTTATACGCAGTCACACAGATAATGTATTCTAGCTGATATAAGTTTTTAGTTTCACTTTATATTTGATGCGTTATTTTCACAGTGCAAATATAAATTGAATTAAATACATCAATTATATGCTAATAATTCCAACTCTGTGCATCATTTCAATTGTAACTTATATTAATTAATATTAATATTTAGCTACTCAAGACGTTTGTGTCTTACGCGTGCGCTACTACAACATTTATTTATCAAAACATATCATAATATTATATCGGTCACATTTATTGTATGCTAAACTTTACAAAATTTACAATTTAACGTTTGTAGGGATTCTTCGTCATGTCCATTATATTTTTCAATGTTAAAGGAAAGAACTGTAAGTGTTCATGCAATATTCAAAAATTTGTTCTTAGTATGTGTTCGCGCCGTTATCACCGCCACTCGCAATAGGTACGTACTAGTACACCACACACGCACACTTAAAATTATTATTAAGCTATTATATAACAATATGTAGATTAGGCCGCGACCAGGTATTGTCCAGCAAAGGCCAGGCGCGGTGCGGCAGTTCGGTCGGTCGTCGCACACAGTCGACACGTACTTCTAGCAGGCGCGAATCGTCACTCAATATTGTTACCGTCCGTTCCGTTGCCACAAGAAAAAGGCATCGTTTTATTGTATTGTAATTAGTCAGGCGCGAATCGCCATCGTTTTATTGTATTGTAATTAGTCAGGCGCGAATCGCCATCGTTTTGTTGTATTGTAATTAGTCAGGCGCGAATCGCCATCGTTTTTTATTTATCGTTACAACGCGCTTTGTTTTTGTCGTTGTTATTATATTATTATTATTAAACCCTTAGGATAGGTAGCAGCTGGCCAGCCGAGCACCGTCACAATATTGTAAGTTTTTATTATATATATATATTGTTATTAATATTATTATTATTAAATTTGTGAATTATACGGCAACTAAACAACCCTTTATCATTTACGTAAATCGAGTTAGGTACCTGTCCTTTAGTTTTAAGCACACATCACAATATACCCACATTTACACACCCACCCACCCACACTCTATCATCACAGGATTTGCTCGGCGACCCTGTCCACTTCCTGTTGAGTGCTACCCATATATACACACCAATACACCATAACACAGGTCGTCGGTAGGTGCGTGAGTGGTGCACGAAGTATTTTGGTGACCGGGCGCACGGACTATTTCTGTCGTACCCGGCCCGTACATTTTTGGTGACCTCGACGTGATTACGTGATAGGATATACTAGGTAAAAGTACAGCGAATTATAAATTGGTAATAAAATATTTCAATTAAATTGGTCTGTTGTATTATATTTGTCACTGCAATAATTAATTAATATTCTATCACAGATCGCTATTAAATCATTTAATTCAAATTTTCATTAAAAAAAAACAACAACAAAATTATTTACATTATTTATACAATATACATATATATATGTCGCATCCATATCGCGTTATTGTGCGTTTCGCGAAATGGACAACGTTTGCATCCATTTCGCGTAATGAAACCGCGGTTTCTCCACTTCACGTAATTACACAATATGGATAATATTTCGTGAAATGGATACCTAAACTATCGTCAACGGAACTTGTTCCGTCATTTGGATGTCCATATAGCAAAACTTAAAAAAACTTTTATTTTTATATTTTATAATTATATTATTATCGATTATCATAATATATTACAATTAATACTTTAATACAAACTATTATTTATTTAGACATGCTTGTGAGTTATGACAACGAGAATTACATTTTAAATTACTTTTAAAACATGCACATTTTTTAGTTTGACATTTGCCTTTACAATAACAACTAAAAAAACCTTGACCTCCAGTTAAAGAAGAGACAATGACATTTCTTTTGTCTTATAAACTTGCTCGATGTCAATGAAATTTGATGTGGCTGATTGTATATTTCCAGAACCATACCAACCTTTTAGTACACCATGTTCAGTTCCTATACGGTTAAGGTCATTTTTCTGGTCGATCACTACGCCAATAATGTTAGCTGGGTCTGCAGGACCTCTATCTACCTTCGGAACCGGGATTACAATACAGTCTCCAACTTTAAATGTTGGTATTTTGATCTTACTATCCTATAACATAATGAAATAATAAATTATTTTAAGTAAATATAAAAACCAAAATGATTTTACTTGTAACATTTTTTCGGCTTGCTTTTCTATTCCTATAGCTCCTAGATGACGTGCTTCCTTAATTTTCATATTCTTCTCACATAAATTACATAAAATTGCTTCGGCGGAGTCCGTTTCCATACAACATTCTGTTCCGCAAACATTACATTGAACAGTTATTTTTTCGATCTCACGTTGAATATCTTCTTTGTAGATTTCTTCTAAGTCTTCTTCCGTTACCAATTTTTGTAAAATTTCTATTGGTAAATTGGATGTTGCTAATCCAACTTTTGGATCATTCCCAAATAAAGCCTTATACGGTGACCTACCAATCACACGATGATGAGAACTATTTTTTTGAAATTGAACAAATTGTAGTCCAATTGACCATTTCTTTGTTTTATTGTCTTTCATCCAAGCTCTTAACATATTTTCTATGTCCTGGTTGCTTCTCTCAATATTTCCCTGGCTCTGTGGGTGTCTGGGTCGACCGTGAACAATAACGCAATCTGGCCAAAGTTCTTTCAGTTCATTTATAATAGAATTAACAAATTCCCTACCGTTATCGCTCTGCAGTATTTTTGGTGCGCCAAATGTAAGAAAAATTGATAATAAATTATTAGCTACTTCAGATGCGCGTTTAGACTCGAGAGGACGTAAAGATAAGAATTTAGTACTATGATCTTGGTTCAGTATCCATTTGAATTTTCCATCAGGAACTGACTGAAAATCTACGAGATCTACTTGTCCTCTTTCATTAAAATCTTTACTGATAATTGGTTTTATGACTAACTTACGGTTCATGTTTTTTTTTACAATTACATATAGTACATGTTGATAAAAATATTTCAATCGCGGGTCTTGGAATATTGTACTTATTGACTACAGCCATTCGCAACTTTACATTTCCCCCATGACCAGTTCGAATATGATAATCATTTATCCTTTCATACAATTCTTCATAAGCAACTATATACCTAAAATATAAAGATTCACTGAATTCACAAAGTATTATTTAAAAAAAAATTTAACGAAATCTGATATATTTACTTAATTTCCTCGTTGTTTCTGTCCCTTTGTTTGCTTGTTTGTTTGTATAATATTTATTACTAAGTACAATAATCTATTTCTGTCAAATTGGATTAAATTAATTAAATAACTTACTTATTTAATTTGGCTTTTACTAAACTTTGTATCATTGAATTTATTTCGTCGATGCTGTGTGGTTTTTTTCCAGGTTTATCATTATAATATCCATCAAGTTTTTTATAAAACTCATTTTTTTCGTCAAACGACATGATTTTATTTATTTACTAACCAAGTATAATATAAAAGGAAAAAATAATATGCACTATTTTACTTTCTTATACACACTTTGCAAACACTAAACACACACGTATTGAACGGTCTTAGCAAAATGAAAACTGGTATGCATTGGTGGGTCGAATTGTTAATGATTATCGATCGATAATAATGCTTATAAAATAGAAAATATCTAAACACAATATTATGACTGTCGTTTATGATAGATTAGATAAGAATTATTGTCACTCCAAGCAAACAGCTATATATGGACATCCAAATGACGATAAACATAATAGTTTGTATTAAAGTATTTTAAGTTTTAAAAGTTAAGTTTTGTTTTAAAAGTAATTTAAAATGTAATTCTCATTGTCATAACTCAGAAGCATGTCTAAATAAATAATAGTTTGTATTAAAGTATTAATTGTAATATATTATGATAATCGATAATAATATAATTATAAAATATAAAAATAAAAGTTTTTTTAAGTTTTGCTATATGGACATCCAAATGACGGAACAAGTTCCGTTGACGATAGTTTAGGTATCCATTTCACGAAATATTATCCATATTGTGTAATTACGTGAAGTGGAGAAACCGCGGTTTCATTACGCGAAATGGATGCAAACGTTGTCCATTTCGCGAAACGCACAATAACGCGATATGGATGCGACATATATATATAATACATCGTAGTTCGACATTCTATTTATTTATCTCTCATTTACGCTTCAAAATGTTAGAAGAAGATAAAAAAAAAACGTTAGCTGATTTAAAGAGAAAACGAGGAACAATCAAGGCAGCTCTCACTCGTGTTCATACCTTCGTAAATAATTTTGACCCAATCGATCAGGCTGTTTCTCTTCTCGAGTTCAGACAGGAAGAACTTCCTCAAATAAACCGCAGGTTTGATGAAATACAATGCCAAATCGAGTTAATTGCAGTTGATGATCTAGAGGGAGCTGAAGTAGAACGTGATATGTTTGAACGCGATTATTTTGAAATCAGATCTCAAATGCAAGAGATCATAAATCACAAAAAGGCATCTAGTACTACAGGTCACAATGCATCCTTTGGAAACAACTCCTTTTCTCACCGAACGCAACTGGCTCCAATTCCTTTACCAAGGTTTAGCGGAAATATTCAAGATTGGGCTTCATATTTCGACATATTCAAGGCTTTGGTATATCAAGATGAAGGATACTCGGCTGCACAAAAATTGTATCTTTTAAGTTCCAGCTTAGATGGTGCTGCTCTCGACTTAGTGCGTTCGACACCGGTATGTGACACGAACTATGAGGCAGTTATACAGTTACTAAAACAGAGATATGATAACCAAAGCATGGTTATACAGTCTCATATACGTTCCATTCTTGACTGTCCACGCGTAGAAGATGCACCAGGGGCTACATTACAGAACTTGTTTGCTTGTATAACAACTCATGTTGAAGCTCTCATTTTATCTCTTTGATATTATTTGTAATTTATCGGTGCATTTTTTACTGATACCTGCACAATTATGTTTATAATTTTTAAGTAGTTAACTACTTACATTATGTTTAAAAAATCAAAAGTAATTAAATTACATCAACATTTACTAATCAAAACTATTTAAACGATACTAATATACTAATACGCTTATAAAAGAATAAAAACTATCGTACTTAGGTAAGTCACCTACAAGTAATAACGTAAAAACGCATTTACTAAAAAACGCATAGATTCGCAATGAGTTTACTAAATTTTATGTATTTCATAAAGTAATTAAGTTATAAATATAAATAAAGTTATGTTGTATAATAGTTAGAGTGCTACGTTTTATGTATTGTTCAACAATTCAACAATATTCTGGCAATATAAAGATTTTAGAGTATTATTATTTATTATTATCATTACGAGTAAATAATAATTATTAATTATTATAATATTACTATATTAGTATATTAGGTATAGGTATACCTACTACCAACATATTATTAATTAAAAAAATATTTGTAGTTACTTATTATCATATTTTAATATAACATTAACAGTTGAACGTAAAAGATATGGCACGGAAAATTAATATTAATTTAATTGCGCTGTATTTATTTTATTTACCATTTATTAGATTTTACTACAAGTATTGTATTTAAATAAGTAATAATTCAATAACTACAAATCAGGCTATGTTATAATACAGTTTCTACCATCTATATATTGGGACATAAATCATAATTTATAATCGGTAGTTCATAGGTACGCGCGGGTATTGAAAATATTATTACGGTGGCATTTGCGCATGAATTTTATAACGATACGAATCGTACCGGACGAACGTTCCTAGACAAATAAACGGCGCTCCCGAACGATAACTCGTCGCCGCCGTCGGCCGGTGGTGAATTGCGAATAGAGGAGCGTCTAAACCAGGGGTGTCCAACCCGCGGCCCGCAATAGATTTTGATGCGGCTCTCACTTCAATTTTAAAACCATGAATTAATTATACATAATATTATATTAATATTACGAGAACAAATTTATTTTAAAAATATAAACCAACCATCAAATAACGCTTATGGATTTAGCCTTTTTAGTTGACATAACTACTCATTTAAATGAGTTAAACGTACGTCTTCAAGGTAAAAATCAACTCATTAGTAATATGTTTCAAATAATAACTGCCTTTGAACTGAAACTTAAATTATGGCAAAGTCAAGTTAAGGTGAATAATTTTATGTATTTCCCTGTGTTGGCCGAATACAATCCCAAGAATAACGAGGAATATGCTTATTTGATTTTAGTTTTAATTAATGAATTTGAAACCCGTTTTCAAGATTTTCGTAAGAATAGTCAACTCTTAGCTATTTTCGCAACACCATTTTCGGTTGATATTACTTCTGCGCGTAATTTATTCTCCACTATCATGTATTCATGTTGGGCTATTATCAATATATTATCTTATCACTATAATACGATGATATAATTATATGAATCAAACTATTCAAAATTTAAACATGCTTTACATTTTTCTTGTGCTTCGACCACACTCATAATATCTTTTGATATTTGTATACTACCATAAATTGTATATTATTAAAAATGATTTATGGCATATCTTTACCAAATAATTCATTATACATACCAGGTACATTTGAAAAGTTAATAATTTTCTAAACTGAGGTGAGTCGTGTTCGTCTTGCAAACATCTGTAGAAATATTATTGTAAGTATTACGTGTTATATAAATAATATAATATAATATATATAATAAAATTAAGTGGCGGGATAATCGTGACCATTTTTCTCAAGAGATATTAGACCGATTCAATTTATTTTTTTTTCAATACATTCTTTTCGTCGAGAAGAAGAACGTATCGCCAATTATATTCGTGTCAGGACGTCACCGGTAGGGGTTCAAACGGGGATTATGAGATTTGCGTTGGAAATTTGCCATATATTGAACGGTTGCCCTGGGTTATTACATTGTTTTATAGGAATTATTTATTATTATTAATTGTTGGCTGAAAACATATTATTATAGATATCTTCTTATATATACTAATGTTTATGTTATCTTTAAGTATATAAATTATTATTATGGGAAAAAGAAAAATTATTGGAAAATCTTCAAATTCTTTGAGAAAAAACAAAAAGTACTATTTTGTAATAGTTTACAATTAATTAGGATGATAGTTTATAATGAATTTAGGGGCTGGGGTCTCTTAATTGTCATCCAAAATTATTCTTTTATAATATAATATACCTATACTACTTAGTAACAAAAAGGGCAAAGATTGAAAATCAAATTTTATTTTTTCTGAATATTTTAAGACATATTGCTTTGAACACAAAATTTGATTAATACATCAAAGATCTTGAAACATTTAATTTTAATTTTTCTAAAATCATTGATTTTGTAATAATAGTCTTAAATTTTTAGGCCACCATTTTTAAGTTTGAAAGAATTTCAAATATTTTATAAGAAAATGTAGCTTAAATATTAATTAAAAAAAGCTAAATATTATGTCAGTGGTGGGGATGTACACTGCACAAAATGGTCTGAAAAACCATATGATCGTCCTATGTGGGTAGGTAAATAATATATTTATATAAATTAGTCGTTTAATTTAGAAAACAAAAATATGCATAACTATCACATTCAAATTGTACAACAAATATATTTTATGTTAGTCCTTCTTACTAAAAATTATGTTAGAAACAAATTTTAAAAGCATTTTTTACAATATTATTGTATAAAATTGGTTAATACTATTAACCAAAAATTATATTTTTGGAGAAGTTCAATCATGGGTGTATTCAATAGAATGGCAAAAAAGAGGATTGCCTCATGCTCATATTCTAATATGGTTGAAAAACAAAATCCATGCAGATCAAATTGATAAAATTATTTCAGCAGAATTCCCAGATCCTGATGCAGATTCAATTTTATTTAATATAATAAAAAAACATATGATACATGGGCCATGTGGAAACTTAAATCCAAAATGTCCGTGCATGAAAGATGGAAAATGTAAATATAAATATCCTCGGCCATTATTAAACGAAACAAGAACCAATACTAATGGATATCCTTTATATCGAAGAAGATCTACAACAAATGGAGGATTCACCACCAAAATAAATATGAAAATTTATAACAAATATGAATCAATTGTAGTAAATAATACATGGGTCGTTCCGTACTGTCCAATTCTTTCGAAAATCATGAAAGCTCATTTAAATGTTGAATTATGTAGTTCCGTATCAGCGGTTAAATATATATTGAAATATATACACAAAGGTAGTAATCAAGCAATGTTTGCAATACAAAATGAAGACGAAATTGAAAATTATCAAAATGGAAGATATGTAAGTAGTAATGAAGCAATTTGGAGAATTTTAGGTTTTCAAATACATGATCGATATCCAACTGTAATACATCTTTCGGTGCACTTGGAAAATGGTCAACGTATATTATACCAGTGAAAATATTCAAACAAAAGTTATAATTCCACCAGAAACAACACTAACAGCTTTTTTTAAACTATGTCAAATAGATAATTTTGCAAAAACATTATTATATACAGATATACCGAAATATTATACATGGGACAGTAATTTGAAAAGATTTACTCGAAGAAAACAAGGAATGCCAGTTGATGGATTTCCTGGTATTCACTCAACAAATACTCTTGGCCGAATGTATACAATCCATCCAAATAATTCAGAATGTTTTTTGATTCACTATTTAATAATTTTTAATTTTAAATATACCTACAGATTACTTTAACATTATGGAATGAATTTGCGACTAATTTCATGGGTAAACTAAATACCAAAATAACCTTACGGAATACCAAAATTAGTGACTACAAAAATCAAAGATATTTAACATTGAATCGACAATTAATAGTTTCCTATGACGTAGACAAAACAACTAACATACAGTAAGAAGCAAAATATTATGTATTACAAGATCGTAAAAATAAATAATAAATGATTTTGTTTCTACACAAATGTAAACGATTTATTTTCCAGATTTGAAGAATGGTTTAATAGAAAATATAATAAAGGATGTTTATTTGATGATGTGAATGAACATGATATGCCATAACATGATATTACACTTCTGGAAAAAAAAAATATATTTAATAAATAACTTTTCAATTTTCTATTGTTATCCCATTGTTATTTTCTAATATTAATTATTGTCCATCCTAATATCATATTTATCCTATTATACCCATATTATATATTTATCTAGGTTAATAGTTAATTATTTAAAACTGACTTCTAGAGAAAAAATTCCCCCGGCGAAGCCGGGTAACACCTGCTAGTATAATAATAATAATTAAAGTGTTATAATAATTTACAGTTTGTCATTTAATTGTTATGCTCACTTCTGAGATTCTTAAAAACATCAATTGGCATCAATTGTAAGTATTACATGTTAAATAAATAATCTATATATATAAAAATGAATGTATGTCAGTGTGTGTGTCTGTGTGTCCATGTTACCATGGCAACCATATCTGTATATAAAAAACAGTAAGCTGATTGACTGCTATCAACGCACAGCTCAAACCATTGGACGGATCTGGCTGAAATTTGGCATACGGATAGCTATTATAATATAGACTTGCGCTAAGAAAGGATTTGCCAAAATTCGCATTTTAAATAGGTGCTGAAACAGGGACATTGAGATTCACGATAGAAATTGGAAATTTTATTTTTATTTATTTATAGTTGCCATTGGTTACAGTCTACATTAGAAATTAGCATTTATTTATTGGTTGCCATTGGTTATTCGGGCAGATCAGGTACAAGCTTGCATCAAATCGAATTATTGAACAATGCTTACCAGGGTGGCAGAGTTGCACTTACCGCAGAAAATTACACCCAAAAGGAGTTCAACAATCATAATTTTTTTAAGAGTTGCGATTTTTTACGAGCAACCAAATTTATTATATTAATCCACAGTATTACATCAAAATAAACTTGGTATAACTTTGATACTTTAGAGTTAAATCATACACTTCCGTACAAACAGCACGGGGTCCGCGATCTACCGCAGGTAGATTGCCTACCTGATAATGTACTGCTGCGATTCAGAATTTTTATTCAGGGCAACGGGAAAGATAAGATAAATTTTGAACACCATACACGTTAATGAATTGAACAAAGTTTGAGTAGGTAGTATTGAGTTGATCCATTTAACGGGCGACGAAGTGCACGGGATCAGCTAGTATAATATAATATAATAATAATAATTAAAGTTAAATATTTGTATAATAATAATTCACAGTTTGATATTTAATTTTAGTTCTTTAAACATGTTAAATCGTTAAATGTATTAACTATTCATTCCTATTTTAGGATGTTTTTTGATTATTGTTTTTAATTATTATTATACTATATTATATTATTTATATAACACGTAATACTTACAATAATATTTCTACAGATGTTTGCAAGACGAACACGACTCAACTCAGTTTAGAAAATTATTAACTTTTCAAATGTATCTGGTATGTATAATGAATTATTTGGTAAAGATATACCGTAAATCATATTTAATAATATACAATTTATGGTAGTATACAAATATCAAAAGATATTATGAGTGTGGTCGAAGCACAAGAAAAATGCAAAGCATGTTTAAATTTTGAATAGTTTGATTCCTATAATTATATCATCGTATTATAGTGATAAGATAATATATTTATAACAGCCCAACATAAATACATGATAGTGGAGAATAAATTACGCGCATGCGAAAATGCATAAGGTGCATTCCTGTGTTTAGATGCTCCTGCGAATAGTAGGCGTGACTTAAACGCCGCGCGCTTGCGGATCGTGAAAACACTTAACAGCGCATCCTCTCGGTCGTTGCACGCGTAAATTTCATTTGTTTCTGTTATGAATGGATCTATTAGGTTGGTGCAACTTATTGTTAGTGTCTCTTTTTCTGCATGAATCCATGTATTCTTATTTTGCAATTTTTGGTATATGCTTCTCTTTAAATTAATTTTCTTTACCGTACATAACTCAGGATTAGAATATGTGTCAGATTTTATGAAGTTTTGTACTTCGCATGGTTGGCGTTCGTTGTTATCCTGTATAGGTTGTGGTGTTTTACATATTCTGTATATTGAAGTTTCCTTACATTCGTTTAATTGTTGATCTGGGTATGTAGTAAACCTTTTATAACCTTTGGTTACTGCAATATTATTGTAAATAATGTCCATCATGTACCACCCACTAGAATTATCTTGCTTATGACGCATTGGTACTGGTGTTAACCTATATAATGTAAGTTCAGTGTCAACAATTAATGGTATTACTATATCAAATACTAATTTGTTGTCTGTATAGTAGATTCTTATTTTTGTAGTTTTTTGAAATTCATTTAGTTCCCATATCCTTTCCATCTCCTCGGAATACTCTATGTTTTCTTTTTAGTTTGTTCTATTGTTTTTAATGTTGATGCTAGTTCTTGCGGTGTCATAAGACTTGGATGTATCATTCCTTCTCTAGCGGCTGTTACTATTTGCCCTAATGTTTCTGTTTCGTAAGAATATTGATTTGTAATTATTGTATATAAATTATGTATTTCATTTTTCATTAATAAATCTAATATATCGTTTGTTTTATTCTGTATTTTTGACATTTTTTCATATAGTTTTTGCTCCCTTTCCGTAATATTATCGTATAGTTGTTCGGTTTGATTTAATGTATTACCAATATTTCTTATTGTTGATTTTACTACAGTCGTTTGGGTTTCCATTATATGCAATATGTTAGTTCCTGAGTCTTCTGTTTTTTTTTTATAGCTTCTTGTGTTTTCTTAGTGCATTTATCATCAAAATGAGTCTACCACCTTTTCGTAGGTTAGTTCTAGTTACCAACACTGCTACAATCCTAATTATACTTTATTCTGTGAATTATTTCTAAACAAATTGTCTAAAAAAAAAAAAAAAATGTAATAATAATGTTTCAAAAATTACTTTACCTTTGTTAAAATTGCCCAACAGGCGTTAATTAATAATAAATAAATAAATAAAACACATACACCAAATAATGTATGCAAGGTGTTACCTATTATGTTTATTAATCCTCTTTTCTTTCTTCGTTTATCTTCCTGTATAGTACTTCCTAGTGACATATACATACGTTCTTTCTGTTTAGTTATTTAATTATATAAATCTGTAATTACTATTTGATATTTTCCACATAGATCTTGTGTTTCTGGTCAGTACATATATTTGTTATATTCTTTTAATGAGAAAAACGTTACAAGACTGTATTGAGCCCCTATTAATCTAACTAGTCCCAAATTCTCATATTGTATTCCCCTGCCACTTCCATAAGGCTTATATGAAAAGTACTATGATGTATTTATTTTGTCAGATTCGACAGTATTGACTAGAAAACACGTCACCATCACCAATCTAAAAGTATAAATTATAATTATATTAAAACTAAACTATTTATGTATATTTTTCCTAGCAGCACCTATCATAATCTAATATATGTTATTATTATTTATTACATTTATAATTAAATAATCTCTAGATATTTTATGCGATATTTGCATTTTTTTTTAGATCGAATATATAATCGTCGTAATTGTAACGTGGTTCAGGTTTGGCCTTCAAGTTAATCGGTACCTCTAATGTACGTCCATAGACTAATGCGTATGGTTGAAAATTAGTAGAAGTATATACTGTTGAATTATATACAAAGAATGCAAAGGGTAATAAATGATCCCAATTATTTAAATTCTTATCTACATAATGCCGTAAGTACTCGGCTAAAGTCCTATGAGCGCGTTCTACGGGGTTACCCTGCGGTCTGAATGGACTTGTGTTAACCTTTTCTATTTTAAATATTTTACAAACATTTGCAAACGTTTTCGAGAGGAAATTAGTTCCTTGATTCGTGAGTATTGTTTCTGGTATGCCGTGTAAACAAACGAAGTGTGTAACAAAGGCTTCCGCAACAGTATTTGCCTTCTAGTCAGGAAGTGGAATTCCTAAAGTGTCAAATCGTCCTCCATCGTTAAAATGTATACATTATTGGAAAGTGTAATTGGCAAGGGCCCTACTATATCCATAAATATTTTTTTCGAATGGTTTAGACGAAGTGGATGTAATAGCCATTGGTTGTTTTATGTGCCGATTTGATACCTTATTAACCTAACTTGACGCACAATTCTTTATATATTTCTTAACGTTTTTTTTTTTCATACCCTTTCATAAGAATTGTTTTTTAATGCGCTTAATGGTTTTATTCACACCTAAATAACCCCTCGAACTAGGGGCAAAAAATATTTAGTTATTTCCTAAAATATTAACGATTTTTTTAATATTTAACTAAAATTCTTTTTTTTTGGAAAAAATGTAATTATTTAATTTTTATTTTAAATTAATAATATTATTTTATATGCCTATAATTAATTTGGTAAATCGTAAATATCATTAGCTATATGCCTTTATAAAGTATTTGTTTTTTAAAAAACGATTTATGTCGGTACATTCAACATTGCCACATTACCACATTGCCCACTTCAAATGAAACAAAAGTTTTGAGACGTGGTTTTTTTCCGTTGAAAACACGTGAATACAAACAAATTTTTTTTGATAGCAACACAAGTGATAACTGTAAAAACTGTTATCACATTTGTTTACCAGTGTTGTATACTATCGAAAACCACTACAATACATTGATAATAGTCACATGTCTTATCACAACATACAGAAGTATTCAAAATTCCAACGGTGGGCCAAAGTTACCACCCGGAGACAAAGCTACCCCATGTTACGGTAACGTGTTTTTGAATTCTGCTATCCACGTGCTTTTGAATTTCTTATTATTAATTTGATCACAATAGTGTGTCCAGTGCTGTCAAACCTAGTTATAACAATGGATAACCATAACAATAATACAAATAAAAAGTGTTTTTCGATTTTTAACTTTTCAATTAATAAAGATTCTAAAAAAACGATGAACCTCGCGACGAACAACCAGAACAACTACATAACGTCGATTCTCTGTGTGCAAGTAGCAGTAGTCTACCAGATTATATTGCTCCCGTTGTGTCATCAATCACTGTTACTGTTGATTCTCATAATTTAAATCAATTGAATCCAAACTCAGAATGCGATCTTGGGACTTTGGAAACGGGCCCTGTCCAACCAATACTAAAAGTATGTATTTACACCTATTATCAAACCAATTATAATTTATTAAAGTATATAAAGCTTTATATGCTTCTACTGCTTCTAGCTATAATTTATTACATCAGCTTATAATTTAGCCCATATGTTTTCTGAATTCAGGTTTATCCTAAAACCAAATTCGGTACTCAAAACCGATCTTTTTCATCGGCTTACTTTAATGAATTTAACTGGTTAGAATATAGTATCAAGTTAAATGCTTTGTTTTGCTATGCTTGCCGTTTATTTGGAGTAGATTCTGGTTATATTGAAGACACATTTAAGACTGTGGGTTTTAATAACTGGAAAAAGGCAAGTATTACGTATATTGTGTACTTTACATAATATGTATTACTATCAATTTTATTTTAAGTAATTATTTTTTATTTTTTACATTTTAGTTGGTTGGTTCAAGAGATGCAAAACAAAAAAAAAACCAAGTTGCAAAAACATGCTCAATGTGAACACCACTTGACAGCAATAGTTAAATGGGAGTGTTACATTAAATCTAAAAAACTAGGAACAATTTCAATGATTTCACAGTTGTCAGCAGCTAGCAAAGAACAAACATTGAGAAATCATGAATATATAAAATGTCTTAGTGATATAGTGTTATACAATGGTCGTCAAGGAATTGCTCTACAAGCACATCGAGAAGATGAAAATTCATTAAATAAAGGTAGGTAATGAAAGTTTGTTTAGTTTTTATTGAAATACGGATAATTAACTTGTTAATTTAATTTTGATATAATATTAATTTCATATAATTTTTAGGAAACTTCAAAGAAATGTGTTCACTTTTTGCAAAATATAATCCTGACTTTGCTAAAATTTATAATACAGAAAAAAAAACTACTCTAGTTGGGCCATACACAATGAGTTGATAACTATTTGCGCAACATATTTAAAAGATATTATCATTAACGAAATTCGAGAATCAGGAATGTTCAGCATACAATGTGATGAAGCTCGGTAATAAATAAATAATTTATTAATATAATTAAAATATATTATCAATATTTTAACATATTTTATTCTCATATATTTAATTAGATTAGTATCTTAACTATACTAAGCTATTTAAAACAACACAAATTATTTTTATTATAAGTATTATTATTTTTTTTTTAGAATATGTATTATAAGTATTTGTTCTTATTATAGGTGTCGTAAACAAGAGCAACTAGCAAATTTGTATTAGATATTCAAAAAACTTAGAAGTTTTTGAAAGATTTATTGAGTTTTATGATGTCTCAGAAAACCAAAATGCTGATTCCTTAGTTGCTGTTTTGCTTCATTTCATAAATTCTTCAAATTTGAGTAATGTCCCTATTATTGGACAATCGTATGATGGAGCGGCAGTTATGTCTGGATCAGTGGGAGGTGTTCAAACCAAATTAAGACAATCCCATCCTTCAGCATCTCAAGCTGTTTATGTCCATTGCTCATAAGGTTAACAGTCGTTGTGGATATGTGCAAGCATTTAAAAGTAATAATTGCAATAAACAATGTTGATACTATTTTAATTTTTGAATATTTTAGGATGCTAGGAATGTATTTAATTGTCTAGAAGTTTTATATGTTCACTTTTCTAAGCCAGCTAAAGACCACAAATTGACAAATATGCAAAACAAACTTGGGTTGAAAAACACTAAACTAGAACAACTAAGTGTGATACTAGATGGGTTTGTAGATTTAAAAGCTGCAATGCACTTATACAAAACTATAAATCTATATTAATGACATTGGATGATGAAATACTTGAACAAAAATCAAAAGATGTGGCACAAGCAATTGGTAAGTTATTTAATTATGAGTTATATTCTTTTTTTTTTAATGTTTTGTACCTATTTGATTATAGGAGTCCGTGCAACAATAATTAATTTTAAATTTATATTATATTTATTTATATTACATGAAGTTCTTCAGTCCATACATATATTGAGTACTCAGCTTCAGTTAAAAGGAACAACTCCGGGCCGATCAGGAAATTTAATAAAAGGAATAATTTCAACCCTCGAAAATAATCGAAGTGCTGAACATTTTTCTCAACTTTGGGATGATATCAAAACATTTTGTTTTGAACATAATATTTCAATTAATATCCCATTACAAGGTAACAACTTACACTATAATATTATACATCAGTTTAAATGTATAAAATACAGTTTAATGATATTAACAGGAGACTCAGAAAAGAACCTACTTACTTAAGTGACTATGATGTAACTTTTTCAACATCGCCCCCACGGGTTAATTTTCATATAATGTCAGGTGGGGGCTACAGCCCCCCAACATTTTAGCCCTAGTTGCGCCACTGATGATAAAACACATATGATTGGTTGAATGAACTATTAAATCCAACCACAATAACTTGATAGTTATAACTTGAGTTTATAGTAAGTACAATATTAAATATCAAATATTTTTTTGTGCATTGAACGTCAAATCAATACTCAAAGCTTAACCTAACCTTAATAGGTACAATCTTTTACATTGTAGTATAATCTAAAATTGTCATTGTATTAAACAGATAAACTGAATTTCAACTTTAAAATCAAGAGCCAATCAAAAAACAAAGAAATTCACAGAAGAATGTATAATTGGTTGAGCATTCATACATAGTTATAATCTTTCTAACAACAATAACTTTGAAACATTGTAAAAACGTATTGCACTGTATAACAGTAAGTTTTCTTTCGAAGAATACTACATATCTAGTACACAACTTGCAAATGACCTAGGTCAGTAGTTAATAATGTTAGTAGTAGTAGTAGTAGTAGTATTCAGATTTAAGTATGTGTGTAATGTATATAATATACATATAAAATACTGTATATATAAACATTTTGTAATTCTCATGCAAGTTTAATTAATTGGTATTAATTAACATTTTATCTAATATAGGTCAAAGGGAATTATAACTTTTTATTAACCCAGTGATTAAAAAATTGAAATTATAAACATATTAAAACTTGCATTGCCCGTTACCAAAAAAACAATATTGTGATTTAAGCCGTTCAAGCTCTACGCACCTTAAATTATAACCTATATCTAATTCTACACAACATATAATAAATATAAATAATTTGAATAATCATACTTACCTCAGTTGAAGAGCTTTGGCTAGGTATACTTGAAATGTCATCAACTAATAAAATATCCGTTCCAATATCAATAGATGATGATTCATTAATCTAAAATAAAAACAATTTAAGATAGGTAGGTACCTAGGTACCCGATATTTTTTAAGTTTAAACAAAATTTTATATAACTAATTAAAAATGAAATTTCAATGTCGGTATAAGTATTCTACCTATTATAAATAGCTACCCACAACCTAGGTAGGTACCTACTTCGGATTTCGTCTTCAAATTTAATAAAACATATTAATTACACAATTATTTACGCTAGGCATTGATCCTTGAATAATTAATTTCCACTGCTCTAAATTTGACAAAAATCTTGCTCTATGGCCTATTACAGGAATCAGTTCTTTTATTATATTTTCTGTCAAACATGGAAGAGTCTTCATGTCAATATCATGAGCTATGTAAAACAGAAAAAGTCCGAAAACCATATATTTATTTAGTAGGTTATTCTTATTATCATGTGTATGTATATCAAGGCCATACCTGATTTTATGTGTGTTATACCTACTATTTCGTAGTCTAGAATAACCAATAAACATTGTACGTTTATATCAGATATCTAACGACACATTTTTAGCTTATAACCTCAAACAAACCCCCTCAAAATCAATTTCCAGTTACGGCCTTAAGTATTATGTTATGTAGCCACTTCTATACCTATAACCTATTTAGGTATTCAAGACCTCTAAAACTTTGTAACATTGATACAAATACTAGTATTCAGTGATCAATACTTTTAAGTAAAAATTTTACTATCTTCTACTTAATAGTTACGAGGTATATCGTATTAAATAGTGTAAGTATGTTGATAAAACTTACTTCGAAACGTATCAATATATTGGGATAAGTCCCACGCTGTTAGGAAGTCTGCTAGGTCATCGGACATCATTAAAATTTAACTAATAACAAGTTAATTTAAAAGTGACAACGAGAAAAACTGATGAACTATAATGATGACAGTATGACACGAGTTTGGCAGTCGGTCGTCAAATAAAGAATCGGTGATTCTCGGCGGCGGGTGTGGTAGTGTTAGTACACGGGTAAAACCCAGTTATTATTTAATTTTAACTCAACTTTGTTAGCGATACATATCAATTTGGTTGTGGCTTTAAAATGGTATGGTGTTATTACCAAAGATTTGTTGTCTACCACAATCGTTTAGTTGCTTAGAACTAACTTCAGTTGTGTGAACAAAAGTAAAATATTTGACTAACAAAACATTTTGTAAATATTTCGAGTCTTACAGCATAGTACCTACTACCTAGTGTTAAACCAAAAAGTACAATCCATATTTTATTAACAAATCAACTATATTTGTTCTATTCAAACTATTACTGTGAATGATACTGTAAATTCTGTACGGATCATAACTTTATTTATGTTCACAAAAATTAGTTACTATAACACATATTACTAGTATATACAACAAAAATATATTAACAGTAATTGATATGTACGTACAACAAATTGCTGAATTATTCGAACCGGTTAGTTTTATAATTGATACAGTTTTTTAGTAAAGCTCACTATTTATACTTTAACTTAACAGTTTTGTTAATAAGAACAGTAATATTTTTTTCAGTGTACGATTAATTACTATTATGTATTTCAAAATTGTACTCACCGGTTTTGAAAAGCGCCCAACGCAGAACACAATACGCCAATAAAAGCTAATATATTATAGGTATAAGCTTTTATATTATGTTTTTCTGTGCGCTTGGGTTGTGTGTTGCATGGGCGTTCGTCACAAGATGACGTTAGACACACGGGCGCGTTTCGCGTCGCAAAAGTTGTCCCCAGCACGTCGTCAACACTCCGACGACCAACCCGTATCAATGAATAATGGTCATACTGTAGCATTGCATGTATCGTTGATATTATCGTGATTATTGACTGTCCGACACGCATAAATGCCATAAAATATAATCGTATGTATTCCAATATAATCCAGGCCATGTTAAACAATACTCATATATAATAGATAGTCCTATCATTATGCAATTTAATTATTGCCAGGTTTGTTAATTGATTCGGGTTATATAGAATTTGCAGCAGTACCTACTACATAGTATATATTATATATTTCATGTTTTGACGTCCATCAAAGGGCCTCGTAGCCGGTGATCCTACCGCGTCGGACAGCAAAAACGCGATCTTCACGAAAAAAAATCGAACCTTCCGACGCATGAATTTATGCCTGTATATTATAGTAATACTTACTCGATGGCGGCAATTTTGGCCGTCTCGTTTCTGCGACCCCGCTCCGCCCCGGGACTCGATGTGTAGCGGGGAAGGCGAATAAGGTCCGAACGGGGAGGGTAATACCACTAAAACTGGCCAAGACTCGGATTTTAGACAAAAAACGACGCGACGCATGTATTTATTAGCCTATATATAGCGATACCTACACGGGGTACCTACTCTCGTTTCCGCGACGCCGTTCCTCCCCGGGACTCGTCTGTAAAAAAGTAAGACCACGCGCCGGCAATAAATTTAGCGGGAAACGCGAATAAGACTCAAACGGGGAGGGTAATACGACCGAGAGGGGCTAAAACTCGAATTTTTGAAAAAAAACGGCAAAAAAAAAAGAAATCGAACTCTTCGACGTAAATATTCACGCCCGTGTAAAGTAATAAAGACACTGTCCGCTCTGCTAAATCATTTGACGGGGAAGTCGAATAAGTCTTCGACGGGGAGGTCCGTAGAGGCGGTAAAACTCGAATTTTGAAAAAAATCTGAACATTTTCGTTAAATATGTTAAGACTGAAGAGTGAAGTGATGGCGAAACGACGGAAAAAAAAAACGCGAGAAAAAAGATTCCGATTTTAACACAGCCGCCGCAAATTGTCGATAATCCCGGGGCCCGGGATCGAACGCACGACCTAAGAGTTTCCTAACCTAACGCCTAACCTACCTAGCCACCTACTGAGATGTAGACTGGAGTCTAATCTATGACACTTAAGCCGTCTCGTCGTCCACGGGAAAGGCGAACGCCGTTTGGACGTCAGTCAAAGGGCTTCGTAGCGGACAACCAGCTCCGCGGCCCTCACTGAAAAAAAATAATTGTTCTAATAACAAAAATATGGTTACCATAACTGTTAAAAGTAGCTGGCTCAGGGACAGCAGTAATTTTAGTTGTATGTACAAATCAATTCTGGTTGGCTGTTACTAGTTGTAACAGTAATATTGTTTGTTGTTGTAACTAAACTTTATTTGTAATGCATACAGCAATTATATACTCTCAACAAAATACCATTATGTAATCATAACAGAAAATATTACAATGTTTGTTGGTAGATCAGAATATTTTTTTAAACCTAGCAAATTTTATGTTCTATTATTGTTAAGAGAACATTTCTTGTGTCTTAGAAGTAGCTAACTATTTTTGTATGATTACAAGATTCTTATGTTAAATTCATAGAGCACTAGGTTAGGCCAACCATAATTAATTTGTTAAATTCATAGCGCACTAGGTTAGGCTAACCATAATTAGTTTGTTAAAATAACCAAACAGAACCGCTACTTGTGCAAAATATATTATATTTTTTGGTTGTAGTTACTGAATATCATAGCTGCTCATAGGGGGTGATTGGGGGGGCTTAGTACCCCCAGGCTCCTCCAGATTTTTACCACCAATTTTTCTAATTAATTTATTTCACCAATAATTTGTAAATTACTGAGGTTTATTGGTTTGGATACATCATAATATGAACTATAAGTAAAATAATAAAATTAGCACCACCTAATATTTCACACCAATGTGCGCTAAACATACAATTTACAGAATTACATTTTTGCAAAAATTCAACACCATTATTTTGATAAGAAGTAAATTTTATTGATACAAATAAATGTTTACAAATTACATAATCAATTTATTATATTTTAATAATTTATGATTAAAACTAAAATAGTTTCATGTATAAGTTTAAATTACAAAGGGCTTCTTACAGTTACAAATTTGGTTCCATCTGGAGTAACATTTAAATTATTTGGGATAGGAGATACCAGGGAATCTTGAAAAATGAAACAATTATTATTTGTTTCTGGAAATATCACTTCATATGAATATACATGTTCATTAAATCCTACCATTAAAAGAGAATTGCATTCAAAAATTATTCTATTAGAATCATAAAGAAAAATATTGTTCACAGAAACAAATTTATAATTATTATCTTCCAAAATATCTTGGGTTAATATATGTTTTATTTTATAACGTATACCTTCAATTGTTGCCCAACTAACACAAAATAAAGATTTATCAAGATCAAGATTGAGTTCGTTTTTTATTGCATGAGATTTCATTGGACATAATGACTTACAAGGACCTACAACTACATTTGAACATAATTTACCCTTGCCAAATATATCATTTAGCTGTAACTGATGTTTGATTGCTAAAGTTAAGCATATATTACGTCGATTGAAAGATGATCTAGCCGCAATTTTAGAGATCCTATGTTTGGCTTCAAAACGCATAGACCAAAAATTACCTACAGGACCAAATTTTTTAATCAGTGATGGGTAATGAAGTAAAAAATGAAATTTAGGTTTAAGAGATTTTTTACTATATTTCAAATAAAGCTCGTTTAATTCTTCAACTAAAGTTTTTAGTAAGAAAGTACTTTGTTCTTCAACTAGTGATGACAACATAATATCTATAACTTTACGCAAGAGTATATACAGGGCCCATACTGGTTCTTCTGCAGGTATAAAATCACCAATAATTAAACCAAAATACCTAACTAATATTAGCATTTCAGAAGCAGATTGACGAACATTCCCTTGACTAACATGTTCCATTGTTAAAGCACAAGGTTTATTACGCTCAGGTCCAAAATCAAAACCAAAAAGCCTTTCATTGAACACTTGTAGGGAAAATAGTTTCAATTCATTAATATAGTAGTATATAATAAAACCCATTATATACTTGGCACAACCTTCAAGTACATCGTGCATTACATCAACTCCGACTTGATCATATAGACTAAAATTGTTGACATCTAACCAAACACACTTTTCTTTAATTCCAGTAGTACTTACATTATTCTCATTTAAATGAATATAATACTGGTCAATTGTTCTGAGGAGAGATTCATCTTCATAGCATTGAACTCTCAAGTTTTCTTTTCTTATATTGCAAATTCGACAAGGAAAATTAGAAGAAAAACTTTCTACAAAACCAATAATGGAATGAAGCCCTAAGTTGTCTCCTAAAATTAGACCTAAGTCAAAGTATAATGTACCTTTAAATACTGAAGTATCAATTTCTATACCAACATTTTGCAAAAAGTTTAATTCGTCAATCACAGGTTTAAAAATTACGTTATTTCCAAACTCTACTCTATCAGAAGAATGAAAAAGTAATGTAAGAAAAATATTAGACAACATTGAAGAACGGTGTAATGGTATGCATGGAAGAGATACATAAACTGCTCCTAACTTGTGAATTCCGGAATGACTACCGAGAACATTTCCACTCTCAAAATCATCAAAAAATAAAAATAGTGGCAAGACAGTCTTTCCTTCAAATTTCTTAATTCTACTCTGCCAAAAAGTACCTTGAATAAAATTCCCTAAGACACTTTTGTTACTCATTAAATTCGTCATGTTTTCTAAAGTTTCACCAAGAATATTTTCAAGTGAAAAAAATTGTTTCAACACTTTGCTTAATGGTATAAATTGTTGTGAACAGTTGATTGGTTCAAGAATAGAGACACCATTCTTTATAATCTTGTTTAAACGTTGGCCAATTACAACTTCCTTAGGTTCTATATAAGTACCTTTCTCAGCAAAAAAATTAAACCTTTTATGCTCAGTTTTAAAATTACCTAATGCATTTTTAATAACACTTGTAATATTATCAACAACAGTAAAACATTCACTAGATATTTTTTTTTCAGACATCTTTTTAATATAATTTTCAATGTATGCAGAAAATCCTTCTACGATAACTTTCTCCAGGCCATCGACCACAACTTGAACAGCATTTCTTGGAATTATAGGGTTAGCATATAAAGATGCAAGAAAACAACTTATCGAATGGTTTAATAATTCAACTGGATCAATAGTTAAATTGTCTTTACAATTACCATTAAATTTACTATTACTATGTGTATAACCAACTTCAGTTATTACATTAGTGTTGGTAATTGCATCTATAAATGAATTTGTATCATTAAGCTGTGGAGCAGTACAGGGTTGTGATTCATACGTATGTTTTAGCAAATGTTTACGAAAGGAATTCTTCAAAGAAAAAGACCTAGAACAATTATTTTCAGCACAAAAATAAGAATCAAATTTCTGTTCAGGATGAAAAAAATTGAAATGATTAAATAAAATTTTAATACTATCAAATGTCTGATTACATAAAAAACAAGTCACCATTTTATATAAATATGTATCAAATACAAATAAAAGCAATTAAAATTCTTATCTACTAGATAGTTTACTAAAATTTACTTGAAGAAATATTATTCATCTTCGGTGTGACGAATACCAACATCTGACATGAATGCGTTCACAGCTGTGTAATTTTTGTCCCATGGTGTTTTTAAATTGTATAAACCTCTTTGAATGAAATACCAAATTCCCGATGATTCAACAGGATATTCAGCGTTAAGAGTTAAAAATATTTTGAAGCAGCAGTCTACAGATGCTATTATAGAGTTTAATCGGTAGAATGTGTTATCCACATTCCACAACAACCAAATATGATGAAATTTCTTTTAAACTGTGACCAACTATAATAACAAAGGGTTGTAATGTCTGGCCAAATTCAATCAACTTGCTTCTTCTTCTTGTAATAGTTTCTTGGATTTCAGAATCACTACGCACGTGAGTTATAAAACCATCCCTCACTTCGATTTTTGAAGGTCTCCAAATTTTTGACTTCTTGCTTCTTGTGCTGGAAACACTTATGAGGAATGAGAGACTTAAAAGTGTGATAATATTAGAGATTTCCTCGTTTTCTAAAAATTAACAAAATAGACAAGATTATTAACATAATAAATAAAAAAAAAGCTTTTCATAAATTTGTAATAGATATGGACAATACTTTTTTATTTTATTCAATATCCTAATATAACTTTGTTTCACTATACAATTGTGGTTAGGTTAATATGTTTTATTAATAATTGGCCTATTTGAAATTGAATATTTTATTTCTAAATAATATGTACTATTATAATCTTTTAAATCTAAAATAATAGCCTTGACACCATTTGATTATAATAAGAAAGTTTTAAAAATTGTAACTTAAACTAAATTGGCAATAAATAAATTGGAATAGTTGGCTAAGAACCATTTGGTACCTAGTAAATTAAATGCATTTATATTTTAAGAGGTTGATTTGTAGGTACCTCGTACCTACTATTTTACATAGGTACAGTACATAAATAAAAATATCTACATAATTCATTATAATAGTAACCATGTTAACATGTTATCAGTTGCAGCCTTATAAGCACATGTGATATGCCCATACAGTTTGTGGCCCCCTCACCCTTAAATATGATTTAGATCCACAGTTGGCTTCAACAAATATAAGAGAAATAAAATGAGTATTGAGTATCAATATAGAATTTTGTGGTCCAACCAATTTTTGCGTAGTATGTATAGTAAAAAATTTAAAAAAATAATCTCAACTAACCTTCAAGATATAGTTTTATATATTTGTTCAAAATGTTATTCACAGTTTCATCTCTTGTTTTATTCACTTTAGCTCTAAGCAACTCAAAAATATTATTTTTGTAAATGATCAGGTTTTGATACAATTTATTTTCTTTGCCTGGATAAGACACTTGGAAATCTTTTAAAATCTGTAAAAAAAAAAATAAGTAAAGTTAATTAAATAAGTTTTTTTTTCATTGATTTTATAAGATGGCTTCAATTAAACTTACAAGTAGATAGCCTGATGGTTTCTTAAGAGCTGGATATTCTTCCATATACTTTGCAATTGACTGACCATTTTTTGACATCAGCTTCTTTAAGCGTACATTAGTGGTTATATCCCAATTCTTTTCCACTAATTCCCATGGGTCACTGGAATTTTGTAACCATTTCAACCCTTCCTCTACAGATGAATGTAATTCTTCATCTTCCTCCTCAACAGAGTGTTGGAGTCCTTTTGACAAGGAAAAAGAACTACTAGAAGAAGAGGATGTCGAACTTCTTCTTGATGTTTGTATTAACCCAGACTTTCGATATTCTCTTCTCCTGTTATTTAGGCAGTCTAGTAGTTTTCCTTTGGCCGATCTTTTCAGTCCAGGACCGTATGAAATATAAGGAATAAAGTAGGTGGGTGTACGCTCTTGGTGAAAAACTGAGGTTATTTGATAGGCCAGGTCTTGAAGTCTTGTAGATAAAACACGCTTCTGTGCATCATCTTTAAGTTCTCTATTTATAATAAGATTACAGAGACGTCTACGGCCTACACTATCTAGTAGTCCACTTTGTCCAAAACTAGCTAATAATGACTTCCCTTCGTTTGTACTTTTGAGCAAGTTGTGTACATCATCCTAATTAAAATCATATATTACTTAGTAGGTATCAACAATTTAAAAAAAAGGTTAAAATGGTTTTAAAGTATCTCCTAAAAATAAAATAATTGTAAATCAGTATGTAGGGTTAGATGGGGTTAGTGCGTCATTGGGGTAAATACCTACTTCATTTAAATATATAAGTATAATAAGTAATAACAGATAGGTAGTTATATTGTAGCAGACATAACTTAAATATTGTACGATAATATTGCATGATAATGTAAAAATATGATACTTATAGCGAGATCATAAACCTACAATTTAAGCTTGAAAACATAATATAAGTTGAACTTTTTTTAGTGACGCACTTTCCCTTCCCCTAACTTTATTGGTTATTTTATATTTTTATGATCACATATTATATAGGAAACAGCCTGTGTTAATAAATAATATTATAACAAACGTTGAAATAAAATGTAAAATGTTTAATGTATTTACATTTGTTGGTGATTGCAGTGAACTTGGTACTTCTTTAGACTGTTGTTCACTTTGTTGCACTACTCCCAAATCGTCCAGATTTATTAAAATATGATTCTCAGCTGACAAAGTAGTTGACGTTAGTGTAGGCTAAATTCAAATTTTACTTTAAAAGAATATATTTTAATACAGAGGTATGAAATTATTTTAATTTACCTTTAAGTTGGTATGTTCTTCACTTGAATTTTGATTTAGCTCTGTTTCAAACTAAATAAAAAGAAAATGATTAAGAAAAGAAAAAAAAATAAGTTTAATTATATATTTTTTAGTGATATATCTATTGTGAAATTAAATAATATTCAAATAACTAAATAGGTAAGTACTTTAAAATAAAAATATATGATACACATAGGTATATCATGATACATTATACACAAACAAATAATAATTAGACTTATATTGGACTTTACATTAATTTCTGAGGATCCTGTCATTCCTTGTATAATTAATCTCCATTGATCAATATTAGTTTTCAATTTAGCTCGATGACCAATAATGGGTACCAACTCTCTTATCATATCATCACTTAGCAATCCTAATGTCTTAATATCTATTTCATTTTCTATAAAATAACATAATAAATAAATAAATAACTAAATTCAGTTCATCCATCAGTAGAACAACATTAACATTTAAATTAAAGGTTAAGTATTAGTAAGTATGAATTACAAATTGGTTATGAATAGAGAGCGGATTTTTAGTTTCTTAAAATATGATCTTACCTATATGTTCAAAAAAAACATAATACGCTTCAAAAAAGATTTAGTGAATTAAACATATTTTTTAATAAATATGGAAAAGATGTAAAAAATATGAGAAAAATATATTACAATATAAACATATCAAAGTTAAATTTGAAATCAAATAATATCAGAAAATACCTATTGTATTGTTTTTAAGGTATATTTCTAATAAACTTATATGAAAAAACTGTGGCATTATTTGAGGGCCCCACCCTAGATTTTAATAGGCTGGTAAAATATTAAAAATGTTTGACTTTTGGTGAGACTACAGGGCCTGATGAAGAAAAAAATAACATTTTTAAGTTCAAATAGATGCCTATCTCGTCAGAGTCCATGGCATTAATGTTTATTTAATTGTTACAATTGTAACAACGCAAAAAATGTAGGTTTAGTTTTGTCTGTAAATGTCTACTTAAGCTAGGTAGGTATAATTTAAATAAAAGGTACGTACATAGGTAGTTTTAAATGTTTTGAGACTCACCTCGAAATATTTGAATATATTGTGAGAGATCCCAAGCATTTAGAAAATCCACGACATCTTCGTCTGCCATACTTAGATCTTAAATATTGACTATGTATTTATAATGAAAGATGTAACACTATATAGACTATAGACAAGTCACAAGTATAGTAACTAGTAAATGCACTAAATAATAACGTATAAAAACCAAAAACTGAAAGAGTAAAACTGTAAAAGACAACAGTTTCGAAATACAGTTAGATACGAATAAGCAAAGCTACAAACGATTTCGGCGGCGGACTGTGGAAATGCGGAATGGATATAAGTGTGTGTGTGTGACACGTGTATCGCACGCATCCTGGAATTCCCATAATATTATACCGTTATCGCTACTCTAATTGTGGATATTGTATACTTTACTAAATAGTTGTTGAGATTACAGTAATATCACAAATATCTGTTGTAGTTACAACACAACAAATAATTGTAACAAATCTTTTTGGCTGCCTGTAACAATACTGAATACATTTTAGTTGTACTTAACAAACACTACTTGCAAGGACTAAAATACTATTTGTTTGCGAGCACCGTTTAATTCTTGCTGCGTTTAAATTTTTATACTTGGAGAAACATTATAAACCGTTAGAATTTCATTCTTGCAGTAGATGCAAAATATATCATTACTATTACATAGTAATTAGTGTATACAACATAACACTAAATAACAAGAATAAATTAATACTTGTAACAAAACGTTTGGTTGGATGTAAAAAATACTATAGCTTGTATTACGGTATTAGGGTTATTGCAACAATTTATCATTTAACAGATCAATTTTGTTGACAAAACCACTCCGATTTTTTTCAGTGCTCGGACTTTCAAATCGCGAAAAAAATCGAACCTCGAGACGCATGTATTAATGCCTGTATATAGCGGTACCTACTCGACGGCGGCGCTATAGGCCGTCGGCTTTGAGCGACGACGCTCCTCCCCGAGACTCGTCTAAGAAAAGTAGGGCCACGCGCCGGCTATAAATTTAGCGGGGAACGCGAATAAGTCGTCGACGGGGAGGGGGATACTACCGAAAGCGGCTGAAATCGAATTTTCGAAAAAAAAACGGCAAATGGAGCAGTCATATAGTCGTACGATTTTTAAATATAGCTT